GCTCGTGACTTCCCTGTGCAGCGGCTCACGCATGATGCAAGGGAGCCGAGCAGCTTCATCTTAATTTTCCAAATGAGCTGCTAAAATCTGCACCCTGCTTCCCTCCCAAATTTCTCTGTGCTCAATGTCTCCCCCCTAAAAACAGGCATCTTGCATTGAACAGTTCAGGGAAAATAGAGGATTAAACGCTGCTGTTGAGTGTTGCATGTGGGTTTTGGGGAGGGTGGGTGGCAGGAAGGAGGCTCTCTGCTGCGGGTGCCCTGTAGCTTTTCTCCCATTTTATTGTCCGAGAACATCCACCATACTCAACCAGAACTTCCCAGGGATGCTCATCTTGCAAAAACTGCATTTTTTCCAGCAAATTTACTGTTCTCCAAAGCATTGCCTTCCGCGCGCCCTGACGCCCAGTGCAGAGCAGCGCTGTGCCTCGGGGCCAGGGGCTCCTGAGCCCCTTCGCTGCCGGTGCATGGGGCAAAGCCATCGCTGCTGGTGGCACCGAGTGTAGAGCCTTGCACCCACCTGCAGCAGCAGCCTCCCATCGGCACTGCCCGCTTAGCGGAAATCATGTCTTTTAGACTTATTTTTCACTGCAGCAGGCTGCTAGATGAGAGTTTCAGAAGAGCAAGTGTGCATGCCCAGACCTCATCCGTGGGGTTTAGCACGAGGAGGCTGGTCGTTTTGGGCTGGGGTTTCCTGCACTAGTTCTGCAGCTCTGCGATGGAGGGGCCAACACTGCTGCTGCCGCTCATAACATGAGCGTATTTTTGCGGTTTGCCTGGGCCGAGGGCAAGGAGCAATCCCCTCCGCTGTGCGGTGGGAATAGCACCCCACCAGGTGTGGGAACGCCACGGCTGCGGCGCTGCTCCCGCTGTGGGGCTTGGGGGGGGCCCAATGCCACGGGAAGGGGTGTTACAAGCAGCTAGCCAGGCCCTGTCTGCTGCCCCGGAGGTGAGACCAGTATAAATCACAGCTTTTTGCTGGCTGTGTGTGGTGTGCGTGTTTTGTTTTGTTTTTTTAAGTAACATAGTTATTATATAGCTAGTATTAGAGAAAAGAAGCATTCATTATTAATAATAACTTTTTTTCTTCCCCTGGCAAAAATACTGTGAACAAAACCATACTAACCGGTAAGTAAAAACGGCAAAAAGCAGGCTGGTCAGTACAGCCATCGGCATTACTTTTGAGTTGTTTCTCCTGCTCTTTAAAACAAAACATTTGCACAGGTCTCTGCATGGTGAGTGCTCTCAAGTAAGCGTCCTCTCGCTGAGCGCGTGATCCTGGGGCCGCCGTACCTGGGAACGGCCAGCCTGAATTACACAGTGACAGTCTTAAGGAAGGAACTGGGTGGGTTGGTTGGTTTTGGCTTTTGAAAGCGTTGTTGTTGTTTTGTTTTCCCCACTGCAGAGGTTAAGACAAATATTTGTTTGGCTTAAAGGAAAAGCGCTGGAAAATGGGAGCTGCCATCTCCCAAGGATGCTAGTGCTGCAGGGTACTCGGTCTCTCATGAAAGCTGGGCGAGCAGCTTTTCTAGGAGAAAAAGATAAATGAAGTTAT